ATATAATATATAAATATATTATTACTTCAAAGGGGACAAGTCTAAATTATGCATAAATGGTTTAATTGCATGACAGTTTATTCTAACCTCCAATTAAACAGCTATACACACAGGTCTGCTTTTTACAGTTATCACAAGACTTCACAGGCTACAGGAGCTTAGTGTTACTTAACACACTGAGAGAAGGTGGTCTTAGATAAACTCTTGGATTGTAGATGCGAATTTTAGCAATGTTTGAAAGTTAGAGCACCTTTCTAACGTAAGATGCAGCATCCTCTTCTGTATAGACTTCTGCACTGATGGCCCCACGCCTTCTTCGTCCCTTGACCACAGGGTTCATAGGAGGAGGAGGAGAGATTTCATCCTCCCGTGAGTCTGAGCGAGAACCAGACTTCTGTTGGTTCAACAACTGTTTTGTTTCCTCCTAAACAGGAAGGAGGACATGTTTGTGTCACATAATCCAATAAAGAAAAAAGTCATTATATATCATATTCCAATTTAGTCTGCCAGTGCAAGGGAGCTTCCTGTGTACTATTACTCTGACATTAAGGCAAACAGGAGACTACAGCAAGCAAGATCAAAGGCCTTTCTAAGTAGATGGTAGACATGCCTTTCATTCATAACATTTGTATCACAATGGTGTTTATTTTAGTAAGTTACACTAATAGTTTAATAAATTAAGAAGCATAAACAAGTTGATTCTACTTTCCACTAGTGTATTCAACAGGCGATGAAGACATTCTGCAAATGCTAAAGACATTTTTCTCAAGTGTAAACCCAGCAGTTCTTCCCCTCAGCTGTGAGGTGTTAAGTCTTTTTTGATTTGAAAGACAGAAGAGCAATTCCTCAGAAATCCATGTTACATGAGAAGCTTTTGAAACAAGGTCAAGTCATGGACCAACTCGATACTCAATAACCAACAGTTATTTTAGGAGAAAGAAATACGAACACTGCTTAGAAAAGAGCTGGAGGAAGGATGCTAGAGGCCAAACAGTAGGTTTTATTTTTGCAAAACACAGATTTGTTAACTTTGCACGTTACGCATTTTCCTCATGGTCCCTCAGCTACCTGTTGTGCTGTGTTGTAGTGATATTGTAGAAGACCAGAGTGCTTACAATAAAACAAAGTCTAACTAATTGGACACATGGAAATTTGATTCTTTTATGTACCAGACAATTCACCTTAATCAACTAAAATCAAATTAAAAACAAAACAAAACAGAAAAGCCAACCTTGGAGCCAGAGCATTTGCATCATAACAGCTCAAAATGACTTTCCCAGCATCAAGGAAACAGGATTTCAGAACATGCCTTGAAAGAACAAGGAGTCATCTGTTCTCTGAGAGCTCCCAGTACTTTTAAAGCTGGGTTTGTCCCAGTGTCCTTGATCAAATCGTCCCCTGCCCAGCTGGGCAGCTTGCTGCTTGGCTGCCACGCTCCTCTCCGGAGGTGCACAGAGGCTATGTATAACAACAACGCTTTGAGGAAAGGGACATCAGATAACCATTACAGGGAGTTTATATTTTACACCTCTCAGATAGCCACAGAGCAAGCACTGACCCATCGAATTACATTTCACTTCCTGCTTTTTGCCCATTGATAAAATAGTGCCACATTTCAAAATGATGGGAGCAAAACATATTTAAAACCTTGTTTCTATCTTCTGATTTGAGAGAGGCAAGCCTCAACTGAGATGAAGTTAAAAATAGCTTGAGCAGTAGTAAGTGTTCGGTTTAAACTGCCTCTCTAACAAAGTGGGCAACACCACCAACCTCAGAAACATACTGTTAGCTCATATACAGAATACTTAACCCATAAAACACCTTGACACTTTTGAAATAAGCAAACACTAGCTGTTGTATTTTTTTCCAGTATCACAGAAAATAGAGATCCTGTAACTTTCAGGGATAGAACCACTTTAGCAGCATTTAGCAAGGGAGCTGTGTATCAAAACACTGTTCAACAAGAGACCCACCAGGGTAACGGCCCACTCAAGGAACAAGGAAACTGCGCTAACAGAAAAAATACAGCTGGTAATTTCTGTCTGATCCGAGATTTAATGTTACTATATTAAGAAGAAGTATGTTAAGGTAGGGCATGGACATAGAAACGAGTTACAGGTGGGTAAGTTAATACATTACCTTAAAATATACCAGCTATCCTAAATAGTCTGTTACACTCATCCAGAGGAAGATTATCCCTGAATGAGACAGATCTCCATATATTCACATTACACATCACAAGACAACACTGTGCCATGGAGTAAGTGACATGCTAAAAGTCTCATTGTTTTCATAGCAGTAGCTTTTCACGTATTCATCTTTCTAAAATACACCTTTTATAATTTCTGATACTAAACCACGTATATTACACCACCAGATCAGAGAAAAATCACACTAGGAAAGAGCGGCAGTTTTTATTTTCAGTTACCTCAGAATTTAGCCAGTGTTTATGAGTGAGAAAATGTATTTGTTTAGGTTTAGAAGCTACTCAAATTAAACACATAACGGACAAAGGCACTCATTTTGCTCTATACTGATCAGTATAACCATTACCAGGATTTTAAAAAGGTTTAGTAATTGTCTATTTATTACATCCAAGTGTTGATCCTGGTCTTTCAGCTGATGAAGCAGTTGGAATTTTTTCAGTGTCAGTGACCCCTAACTATAAATGTTATCTTTCCTGACAAGTAAGAAATAGTTATTAAGCCCATTTAAATTATGACAAGGAAGAAATATTAAAGTGACAAGACTTCACATATTCATATTTAAGTCTATCAGCTACTGCAGAAGACCTTCACAATTTCAGAACTATGTTTTACACTGTACAGTCTGGCGCCTGGTAATTGTCATTACACCAGAAACAGCCTCAACTTCTGGGTAATTATTATTTCATTTATATCAGCTCTCCACATATTTTAAAAACCCCTAAAAACTCAGAAGCTAAAAAAGCAGTGTTAAAAGCTCTGCCATAAAGCCACAACTGCACAGTATATCCTTCTAAACTACCATGTTTTGCAACAGAAACACTTAGGAAAATAGGAAAATAGTCAGGTATGCATCTGTGGAGGCAGAGTCGGTGGTGGGGAGGAGGCACAGTGACTAGGTATCAGTCGCACTTCTAATTCCAGCTTTCCCAAAAGCCAAATGTGCACATCACTGCATTACACACAATATTTCAAATGTGCACTTATTCCAGTGGACAGCCATGTCCAATATCCAAGACTAGCAGGCTGTAATAATGATCTCCACATTAAATTTCCATAGCTCAAACTACATTACACAGCCAAGCACAGCACTGGATGGCTATTAGCTTTTAATATGTATTGGCGTTATTTGCACAGCAAAAAGAACAGAGGCCTTAGTATACCACAAACAGATAAAATAAAAACATTTATACAATCGATGTGCAGTAATTAGATTCATGTAACAACTTTCATAACTCAGAAGAGGACACCTGAATTCCTACAGGAGCTACAACAATCTCAGAGGCAGTAATTTTAATGTTTCTGAACATAAATTCAAAAGCATATTTAAATGTCTCCAACATATTTTAATAACATGACAGTGAATCAGCTCTGTGTTTGCGCACTGTGGAAGAGATGACTTGTCAGGATAACTAGAGAGAAAATAGCAACCTCGCTTCAGTTTTAAATGGTGTTCCTTCAAAATTCAATCTTTAAAAAAAAATACTGTATCTCAACCTCAATTTCATCCAGTCTAACAGATGAACAGATCTAGAAAGTACATTGAAAAGTTGCTCTGCTTTATGAAAGATGTAACAGACATTACTTCTGGAAGGTGAAGCAGATTCCATTTCAAACATTTTTGCTCTACCAGAGCTAAGTACTGGGTTAGAGCTGGTTAATAATAGTACTTAGCATTTTGTGCTTCCCAGACACGGATGTCAGAGGAGTTTGCTAACGTAGTACAGGATGTTCACTGTTCTGTTATTTGATAGCTGTTAAGGTACCACATTACCTGGTTAAATTAAGACCAAACCATTAGACTGAATGGTGAAATTAGTTAGAGAAAGCTGTAGCAATTTTTAAATTCAAGAAGGCCAGAAGAAAAATGCTATGGTTTCACTTGTAGCTATAGCTGCACTAGAGGGCATGCATAACCCATGCCAACACAATGTATAATAAAAGACCCTGACCAAAACTGTAAGAGTAATTTAAGGGGAAAAAACCATTATCTAGCCAGTTTTATTTTCAGCTTCCTTGTAGGCTGAGTACATAGACAACCTATTCACACCACAATAAAATCAAGAGTCATTCAACTCCAGAATACATGTTATTAAGTTCAGAGCTAGACTTCTTGTCTTGCTAGAAACAAATTAAGTTTCCTTTAATCTTAAATACTCCATGTTGACCATAAGTCCATTACACAAAAGCATCCAAATATTCCTGGTTTATATCCCTATGTATGGATCAGTTTACAGTTTATTCTAAGCACAGTAGTGCAGGTTACTTTGTAAAGTTTAGTATATCAACACTTGCGGTGATGTTTTAAAAATTATCTATCAATACTTAGAAACTCAAGAATCCAAGGTGGGGAAGTAGCAGGGAAGGACAATGGATTTTTAAGAACCTGATTACTACCTGGTTTGCTGCTGGTATTCTCTCTGACAGAGAATGTACTCAAGATGCAACCACACACACACAAAAAGTTAGACATGTTACAGAGTTCTTGTTCATTTAATAAGCAAAATGTTCCTCACATACATTGTGAGTTACAGGAGGTCAGTTTGCAGCATTGGGTCATTTTCTCGTATCTACCTCCAACACTTCCATTAAAAGACAATTTTCACTATATATATTTACAATCTCTAGCATTAATTTCTTTCTTTACATCAGCAATTAGTAACTAACTAGAATTAAAATAATAAGAAAAAGATATACCTCCCATATACAAGAAGTACCAAAACCAGCATCTGCAAATGACTGCTGCACAAGGTCACAGCTACATTATTCACTAACAATGTATTCTGAATGGAGTTGTATCTAGCCTGTCCTCTGCATTAGCTTTTGAAACCTCTCGTCTTCTATTCCCATCTGCTTAGATATATAAAACGAACAGTTCAAAAGAATGGGAAATCACTGTTTCAAATACGAGCACCAAGATGACAAAATGCTTTCCATTCCCAAGATCCCAGACTGCTTCCAACACCACCACCACCACCAAAGAGACCTTGAGGACAAACGCAAGAGGAACAACCAACCAAAACACCAACACTGACCTCCCAAGAGAGGGCAGAAACAGGCTTGCTCTCCTAGAGATCTGGAATGCAAAATCTTCCATTTGACTTCAAACAGGCCTGGATAACTACCACTGCCCTACTACTACTGTGCTGTACCCGAATTATTGTAAACCATTTATCTCAATAGAAGAAACCAAATGCCTATTGCCAGCATCTAACCAAGGTCAAACGCCACAGTTATCATCTAACTACAGACACAATCATTGATGCTATCTATTAGCTTCTATGAGTAAACATTAGATTTGGATTACATCTGCATCCCAGCTGAGTAAGTCTCAGCTTTTGTTCTGCCCTGTGTGCTTTGTTACGACAGAGGTGCTTCTATGCCATGATCAACAGGCGTAAACTACTGGAAAATAGGATTTGTCTTCCAAAAGCATCAGTTCCAATTTCAAACAACCAACATGAATACCAGTCAAATCTGAAGCTCAGCCTCTAAATCACAAAGAGATGATGTAAACATAGGTTGTTCCACTCTCCTTCCCTCCCACTATGTATTTTTACCTTCTCCAATCTTTCAAAGTATTCTCTGAGGAATCCCATGGGTCTTTCAGGTCTCACTGTGCATAACTGTACAATGCAATCCTTCAGAAGTTGCTGAATGTTGTGTTTTTGGACGTAAAGTTCACATTCCCGAAGACTACGCTCCTCCTCGCTGCTGCTGCTGCTAGAAGCTGCCATTGCTGACGATAAGAGAAAGACAAGGTGAAATAAGAGTGGAAACGAAGATGCTGCTGCCCACTATAGTCAGGCACATTATGCTGCCTAGAAGCAAGTTATACTGCATTATCATCTTAGTGATATCACAGCATAAAACTACCTTTATCTGTAAGACTAGTAACTAAGCTAAACCATGAAAGAAAAAGCTATGAATTTATTTAGCACCTGGAAAGAAATAAAAAAAATCTGGGTGCTCTACAGCCACAGGCAGAAAAGGAAAAGCATTTGCTAGAGCTGGAAAAGCTGGAAAAGCTTTAACAGCTCAAGAAAGTCAGGGAAGCTCCCACCTAAACTTTCTACTGATTAACCCAGTATTTGGTAGGATTGGAGGCTCACTTCAGAGCTGCACAGTCTGTATGGGGTCATGTGGATAACGACCAGGAGATAGGTGGGAGGAAGCCGGGAATCCGAGAGGCAAGTATGAAAAGCATTAGGAGGTAAAACATCTTAAGGTTGAAGCCAGTTCACCAAATGCCAAGGCAGAACCCGCTAACGGAAGTTATGGGACTAGGAGCGTTACTCCTAAAAAGCTGCTCTCTAGTTTAAAGTGGTCCATACTTCATAACTATCTCCGTGAATACACTGCAATCCCAAAAATATTTCTTCAACTGTAAATAATCAAGAGTACTTTGTTAAACACATCTGTTATGACATCAGGCTTTCAGAAAACATTAAAATTACAGTGCCAGCAGCTACACTTTCAAATTAAGCAGGTTTTTCTTCCCTTTCAGGTTATAGGACCATTTTAGAATGTATTTTTACATATATATATATATATAAAAAAAACCATA